ATGGTACCTCGTGAGTGTAGTGCCATCCATGCTGATTGACCATGCATCCTCAGTGTACTCTTCAAACATCTTTCGATCCTCATCTTCCTTGGGGGTGCCTATGAGGTTCAGCGGAAATTCCTTGAGCGATACTAGCGTAAGCGTGCGGTACTCCTTACTGCCATCGAAGATTGTTCCAAACGGTTCCTCAAGTTCCTCAAACATGATGCTGTGATGCAACAGATACCACTGATCATCATCCTCAATAAGCACTGCTCGATATGCGAACTTTCCTGGTGGAAACATCAAGTAAGTATCAACGTGTTCTGAGGTTCCTAAGCTGAAGTGGACTTGGTAAGGGTCTCGCCAGTTGGTCCAACCAACACGCTGTTCTTCAATGAGTTCCTTTAAGTTCTCGCACAAGTACATAGGGATAGGTTTTGTTTCTGCTTCCCAGTTGACTGCTCTCACAAAGGCTTTTGTTGTAAGTGAGTTGTTGTTGTAGTTCACTGCGATCTTGGTTGTTCCTTCTGTTAGGAAAGTGCCTGTTGCTGTTCCATCTCTGAACTCCCAGCCTTTCTTCAACAGTTTACCTACTGCCAAAAGAGGGTGCACAACCGATGAAATCAAGAACACTTCTTCAACCTTCACAATGTTTCCTTGAACATCCCGAAACTCAACTTCAATGATCCTTTGATCTGAAACCTTAATCCGAGATCCTTGTGCATCTCGCAAAACTACCTTGGTGGTGTTGGGTGCCTTTCTCCCATATTTCTTCATCCACATCGGTGCCAACGAAATGTCAGCTCCTGAATCCAGCACGACCTCGATCTCTCGAGTTCTCGCGTTCCTTGCTGCACGCGCAAACCTGGTGATGGTCCTTGAGGGTGCTGTTCTCTCTACTCTGTTCCTTCTAGGAGGATGGTGACATCCGTTCTCACATTCCTGCATGTTTGGGTGCCACGGTGTTTCATGACATCCATTGGGACACTCAAAGTAGTATCCACGATCCTGAGTTCCTATCGGAGTTCCTGCTAGATGCCATTGCAACCATGCATCATCACTCACCTCATCACAGTCCTGAAACTCATCATCTTCATCACCAATCCAAAACTCTTCTGTCTCACTCCTCTCTTCCTGAACTTCTTCACCAACAACCCGCAAAACTCTTCCGAAGTACTCAATCTCTATCTCTTCAGAGTTCTCACTCAGCTCGAATTCCTCCGGAAAGCTTGTGGGCTCGTCTCCCATGTGGTACATGGAGACCATCCTAATCACTGGTCTTTGGGTTCCTTGGCTTGCTTGGCTTTGGCTTGTTGAGGTCTTGTTGGCTGACGAAGGGGCCTGAGTTGAAGTAGCTGTAGTGCTTGCTTGCTCGCTCTGGTTTTCAAGGTCAACGTTCCTGGCCTGATAACCCATGTCACGCATCTTCTGTCTGCACTGTGCTTCGAAATGTCCATACTTATGACAGTAGTGACACACTCCTGTAGCTGCTTGGGCTTTGCCTTTACCTTTTCCTTTGTGTCTGAAGAAACCTCTTCCTCGACCTTTGCCTTTTCCTTTGTAACCTCTGAAACCTCTACCTCGGCCTTTCCAGTTGCCTCGACCTCTGCCTTTGCCAAAACCTCCGAAACCTTTACCTTTACCTTTGCCTTTGCTGTCAAAGCCGTAACCTTTTCCAAAGTCCTTTCCACCTTTCTTGCCTTTTCCTTTACCTTTGCCTTTATGGTGAACATAACCTTTGCCATAGCCTTTCTTTCCTTTGTACCATGCTTGGTTGATATCCATTGCTGCAAGACCACCATGGTCATCACCTTTGTCAATCAAGTCTGTTGTGGTTCGGTGAGGTGTTCCTTGCTGGGCTGACAAAGAGTTAGTCCAACGCTCGGTTGACTCATAGTTCACAAGGTACTGACGAAGAGTATTGTACTGTGTCTTCTCATCCATGTTGAGCAACAAGTGCCTTTTCACGTCAGGTTTCATACCTTGAATAAGAGTAGATACTTTCAAATTCTCCTGTACCTTTTCTCCAGTAGCCTTCTCGTACTTCTCGATGTGTTCCTCATATTCGAGGATATTCTCAGCAATTCCTTTGTTGTGAGCGAATTTGTAGTTGAGAATGTTGTGAAACAACTCCAACGATCTTGCACGATTCGTTGGTTGATATTCCTTGAGTAGCATACGGTAAGCTTCCATACCGTTCTCCTCAGCTACATGCTTTACAACTCGGTACGGCCTTCCTTTAGTGTACGAACAAAGAACACTGTACAGGCGTCTGCTTGTTTCCTTTGCTTCTACAGACATCTCAGCCATCTTCACTTGCTTATCATCTTTTAAGTTCCTTTCGGCGATGTCCATGATCTTTACCATGTTGGAATCCACTGCTCCAAGCCAGATCCGCATCCTGTTCCTGAACTCTGTCCATCCACTCTTCTCTTCTTGCCATGTTCCTGGGGAAAATGCTTCGGGGCTTTTAATCAGCTTGTGCAACTCCACTTCTCCAGGCTTTCTTTGTTCCTTTACTGCTTTCTCCAGAGATGCTCCTATCTCCTCAAGTGTCGTTGCTGCGTTCGTGTGGGCGTCTGCCAACGCTGTTTGCGCTGTCTTCTGCTGTTCCTGAACTGCTGTCAGGGTTTCCTGGAATGCTTGTGTAAGTCCTGCTTCTCTTTGACTTCCTGAAGCTGCTGAGTTCCTGATCTCCTCTGCTAGTGTTTGTATTCCTTGTAAGGTCTGTGCATTGATCTCGGCAAGTGCCTTCAATGCATCCTCCATTCCTTTTGCTGTTTCAAGGTTGCTGTACACTAGTGCTGCTAAAAGTAGCGACTTGCACTGTTTCCTGCACACTGCTTGTGCTCTCCTTTCTCCTCTTGTCTTCCTTTGGTGCTTTGAGCGGTTGCTTGCTCTTGCGAAAAACACACTAGAATAGTACGACAGGGTGATCCAAGTAATCAGTCCCATTGGGGTTCCTAAGAACACTGCTATGCGAATTCCTTGAAATACAACTCTGTTGGAAATGACTTCCTGAACTATCACATGCACGACGTCGTGAAACTTCTTTCCTACGTTGCTAGCTTTTCTACGAAACTGTGAACATGTTCCTGTACAACTTTCCTCAGTACTTCTCGCTGTTGTTTTACTAGGTACCTAGGGGCGTAGCCTGACTCAAGGCTCTCACTCTCCTGGTTCTCGGTGTTCTGGTCGCCGTTCCTGTTCTCTTCCGTGTAGTACTTGCCGGTCACGCTAACGACGCTGTAGAGCTCGTTCATCACTTGGTTCACGCACAACAAAGCGTACGGTACCATGACTTTTCCTATCTCCACATAGTCCTTAATCGTGTACGCGTTTGTGTTCCTGATCGTGTTCACGTTGGTGCCGTCGGGGTTCACGCTGCACTCGTTGTAGCCTTGCTGGTAGTACTCGCCGTACACGTCATAGTTCCTGTAGCGGTTCCGGTGCGTATTGGGCTTCCTTCTGCTCGACCACACTGCCATGAGCTCGCTCTCGTCGCTCTCCACGTAAGTGAGTTCCTTTCTCCCACGGCTCGCATCCTTGGAGGATAAGACGTCTCCAAGGGCAAGTTCTTCCTTGGTCTCCACATTGTTGCCAAGGGCCTGCCACGGTCTCACCGCCACACTTCTTGCTCCTGGGACCAAGATCATCCCGCACAAAGTTGCGAGGCTTCCCAGTGCGAAACCAACCAGCAGCACCATACATGCTGCCAAACCGTAGCACTTCATGTTCCTTTTCTCTCTCTCTCTTCCACCAACACTCGGTCGGGGTAGCAATCGGCGCAAGCGTCAAAGTCTCGCGCGTTTCCTGCTGTCACGTTGTGGTTGCGAAGGTGTCCACAACCTCTGCGGTGGTACTTTGTTCCTGAACGGACTGCAATCCTGAGCGTGGGCATGTTGAGCACTGTCTCTGTCTTCTTGGTGATCTGCTCATTTGCGCGCATCTGCTTCCATCCGGCAACGAGGCAAACTGCCATGGCGCCGAGCATCATGGTTCCTATGGCTACGAGTAGCATCATCGCTGCCAAGGAGGTTCCTGGAGGCAGCTCCGCTACCATGTTAAAGAACGGGCTTCACTAAGGGTTCCTACCCACAAAGACTGTCGGACACTTTTGTTCCTGGGCACGGTGTGTCCTGGGGTCTCGAGCCTGCACGTCGCGTGTGCGTGACGGCTGTTCCTGTACATTAACTGTACTGCACTAGCTGTGTTACTGCTCCTGGCAGAATGTTTAACATTCTTGCAATTTTCGGACCTTGCACTTCAAGATCCTCCTCTACCAACTCGGCAAGAGAAGATTTTATTCTGGTCTCACGCCACGGACGTGGGGGCATTATGGCACATGTTGAAGCATCGAGACATGCGTCCGATGAACGTGCATGGAGTGGCGGCCTTCGGCTGCAACATATTTTATGCGCTAGGCCAGGCCACGAAATGTCCGGGTCAGAAATTGATGAACATAACCTGACCCGCGTGATCTTCAACACCATCCGGAGCGCCAAGAACCTGGCAGGCATCGTCGTGGGAGGCCGAGCATGGGGATCACTACGCAGGCACCTTGGCGGATCCTATGAAACAGCTCGGGCGGCCACTGAAGAAGATGAGGTGCTCAAGGATGCGAATGCAAAAGCTTATTGCGTGTCTCGCAACAGATATTGCTTTACATGCATTGCATTTGAGCAGTTGATGACACCGCCATCCACTGCGAACACCCTCATCTCCCAGTGCCAGAAAGCAGCAGGCATTGCCCCACAAGGAAGAGCGAGACTTGCACTCCTGTAAAATGCCAGCAAACTGCAGTTCTTCCTCGCTTCCGACAACAAGCTGCAATTCTTCCTCGTGATCAACAACAAGCTGCGACGACCACACCGTGCTTTTTTCGCAGCAAAACATGCACCGCTCGCCGTGTTGCCTGCAAAGGTTTCCTTTTAGTAGTAAGCTGCAACTTTTGCTTGATCCGGTAGCCTTTCTGTCAAGACTTTGTGCCTTTCGTTTGTACTCAACATCGCGGAAGCATGGCCAACGCGTGGACCGGGTATTGGTCGCAGGGATCGCAGGACTCAGCTTGGTGGCAGACGCAAAACCCTGATAGCAGAGGCGCGGCGAGCGCCGCTTCAGGGCATAGTGAAGGACCTTGGTGGCCACAATCGACATTGCTGGCATGGCCACCGCTACCTCCACCAAACAACCCTCCGACACAGACAGCACCATTGCCACCACCAAACACACCTCCGGAGACTCCAACTACGACAGCCCCGCCTACGACCTCGGCCAGAGTTCCAATCCCCAGCCAGTTCAAAGAGGACTCCGAGCACTACGACACCAACCTCGTCTTCAAGTCCACCCTCCGCAAAAACGTGGAGCCGACAGCGTGGAGTCGCGCAAAGGGCCTGGCAGGCATGGACGTTCGGGATGTCACGGTTGCTCACTTATGCAGACATGGTATGGAGGAATTTGGTCTCCGAGGACTTTCCCACGGCAAGTTCACAGGCATGATCTTAACTCTTAACGTGCAATGTTGCCGAGAGCGTCTTTCTATCCCAGCTACAAAAGAAGCTTCGCGAGAGCAATATCGACGTGGACGCCACCATCGAGGCCATATACAAGGACAAGAATGAAAAAGCCCCGGACAAGGTCAAGGAAGCCACCGCCTTCGTGACCCCCTTGGTGGACGTCATTTTTGAGGCCATGAAGCCATGGGCGCAAGTTCGCAACTATGCCGTCAAGAACCCGGACAATGACAATCAAGCAGCACAACGCATGCAAGCCTTGGAGGAGCAGGCCGGCAGGCCGCCAAGTATAAACAGCGCCTACGCAGTGCAGGACTGGAAGTTACCCCCAAGAAGGCTCTTCCACTACAAGATGAACAATCAGGAGCTCCCGAGGCAACCATCAAGCCGCCATCGCAACCCAGCCAGAAGCGCAGACGCCTCACCAAAGCAGCCAAAAGCGCAACGAGGACATCCTCCCACAATGTTATACGGGACGTGAGCCACCATCCAGTATGACATCGATCGCAACGTGGGTCACCGCGCTCAAGAAAGGCCTGCCCCGGGACAAGCACGCAGAGATTGATGCCCACATCCAATCTATGCAGACAATCCTTGAGAATGCCAAGCATACCAAAGCGGAGTTGCAGGAGATGGCTACACGATGGGGATTGCCACTGTCACTCACAACAGCACCCAAAGCATCGCCAAAGAACCTCCAGCAGCTGATTGCGGCGGTCACCTACCTCGCTGTGTGACATGTGCAAAAGGTCCTGAGAGGACCACTGACGCATCAAGAAAGCGCCGGTGTCTTCCAGCAGCTGCAGCAGATAGTGGATTGGGGGCAGTTTTTGCTTTTTCATATTCCTGCTATTAACAAAGAAGTTTTGATGTGGTTAGTTGGTCTAGTTCATTTAGTATTCATTTTTCATCGAATGCGGCAATCGCCTGCAGCACAGCAACTCAAAGAGCGACTTCGAGAAAAAGGAGCGGTCCCAGAGCTATACACGTTCGACAAATTCTCCAAGCCTTGTGCCGTGTACATCAAACTTTTATTCCCAAGGCTCAACAAGCAAGCGTATGCCAGCACTAAGCACCATCCTCCTCTCGCAACACTCGGAGTACATTGACGCCTGGGCCGAAGAACACTGTCTTATTCAAAGATGGCAGCCTAAGCTGAACTATCCGTTTGTTACGAAGGAACTGGTCAAGAAAGCCCATGGTCTCGTTCCAGAACATCAACAACCGCATCTTCGACATCCACCCGCTTCTCTTGCTCGACAACTATTCAAAAAGCTACGAAGAAGAATACAAGGGCAACGACCTTCAGTTGTCAACGCTCTACCCAAGCAAGCACAATTCTGGAAGCTCCTATAACTCCTATACGCCATCTCCAGCGACACCAAGCAAGAATACGAGGCGTCCAAGGAGTTGCGCAGCACGACTCCGAAACCGTGACATTATTGTACAGGTTAAGTTAGCCAATCACATGGAGCAACCCTGGAGATCAACAGCACGAGCACGCCTACGCAAAGTTTTGCAGTTCAAGAAATGCCTCGGTCCCAAAGCACAACAAGCCCCTCAAAGTTCCGTTTTTGTCTCATTCGGCATTTCGAACCAACCTTCAGAAATACTTGGTGAGGCTCAGTAGAAGACATCGACACGTTTTGGTTCCCTTCCACCTACCCACCAAGACGGTTCAGGAAGCCACCCACCCGTCGCTTCAGCAGGTGTTATGGAACCGCAAGCGGAAGGTTACCGATATGGGCAGGCATTGGAAACCGACTACATGTCAGTGTGAAAAATTTGCAAAGCAGCACCCAAGAGCTCATCTTCATGAAGGACACATGGTTACAGGTCTTGAAACGCTGCAGCTGCCGACAACACACAAAGCCTTCCACAACGTAGGAGCCGGCAACGATTTCTTTTCTTCCAAACAGCGAATTCAGAGACAATACCAAGAACAAATGCAGCGATGGCTAAAGCATCACCAATTTCCTCGAGATCAGCGAACCATCGACGAGTTCGACGAATTCTTCGAGCAAGAGTGGAAGCAGCACAAACTACAACTACAACAAGAGCCAAGGATCACGCACAGACTGGCCAAGAACATTTTGGCAATGATCCCCGAAGACTACATCGTCCATAACGAGGACCACGCGAATGCGCACCTCATGATATATTGCCCCAACGTTTACAATCAGGCGGCGTACAACACATGGATGGATCAGCAAACATTCCGAATGCTTGATAAAGATCCAGAAGACATCAAACAAGATATGAAGAACAAAACGCCCAAGGCAGTTGCAAAGCACTACACCAAACTCCTCGCCTACGAGAAGCCGCTGCCGCACGGGTACATTCTCATGAAACGCAAAAAGCGATGGGCCAAGGGGAGGACCATTATCGCGTACAGCAATACGTGCATCGGCAAATTGTTGAAGATCGCTGCCCTGGCTTTACAACAGATGTTGAGGATAACCTGGCCCAACCATTTTGGTGATGTAAGTTCACCACAACTTTGGGAGGAAATTCACCAACTCTTCAACAACAACGAGCACATGTACCCAGAGCGACACTTGAAATTTCTCAATCACGATTTGGTCGGATTCTTTAATTCCATACCACAATCTGACATCCTCCAGAGCATCCACTTCCTCACGTCGCAGTTCTTAGACGACCACAACTCCACCATCACCGTGGACCCCCACAACAAGGTGGCGCCCGCGCACTCCGGCAAGTCTACATACAGCGTCAAGTCCAACATGGTCAAGGTGCAAGCAGAGCACATCCCTGCCATCATCCAGTTCAGCTTTGACGCCTGCGCCTTCACAGCCATTGGACAGGTGTTCCAGCAGACGTGCGGCACCTCCATGGGGAATCAAATCAGCCCCATCCTTTCTACATGCGCAATAGTGGCAACAGAAATCACGTGGCTCCGCATGTACGGGCAGTTCGTCAGCAGCGCGCACCTTCAGGACAAATTCTGGATTCGCAGGTACGTCGACAACAGAGCCATCATGTCATTGTTGACGAGGAAGAACTAAAGGCCAACCCCTACATCCAGCAGCTGGCGTCATTACACTTTTACAAGAAACCTGTACAACTTGAAGATGAAGCATGTGATGATTTTCTAGGATTCCGTATCCATGCGGACGACAGACGGATCACCTACAACCTCCACCGAGAAGCTTGGAGATATCGACTACCTCAGTCTGCCGGATCCACAAAACTACGCCTCAGCGGATACCACAGCAGGAAGCACCTTATTCGCACAATCGCCTACCCGCCAGAAGTAGCTGAGAAAAACAGACGCAGGAGCTGGACGATCTGTACGGTGACTTGGGATTTGCGCACCTCCTAGAAAAAGGCCAGAGCTACGCATGCACCCTACACTAAAATCTCTTGCACCTTTTGATTCTTTCTTTCTTTTCTTTTCTCTTTTGGTTGCGTTAGGTTCAAGCGGGGCGATGGTAGGTAGCAGGGTCAAGAAGTGTAAAAAGCCGCGAGCCATCGCCACTGGAGATGAACGAGTTCTAACCGACATTGACACAGACTCGGAGGTCACGGAATACAAGGTCAGACTGCCACATGGTCTACCACTGGACATGACCGCGCCCATATGCCCAACAACCAAAGATGATCCAGTGGAGCAGGAATGCGAACATCTTCTCCGGCAAAGATACATTCCTTTCGAAGTGTTCCCATGGCCCTCTACAAAGCTCAACTCAGAGTTCCTTCGAGCGTCCGCTCTTACCCGAGCAGGCAGACAAGCCAAAGCTTACACCGTCGGCACCTACTACCACGCGGGCAGCATTGGAGTACGTACCAACACGAGACAACGACCATGGACGGCAGCCACCCTGGCATATACGGTTCGTGCGTGCACCCACACCCCGTTCTCAACGGTGTCCCTATTATGCAACATACACATGCGCACACATCGAGACAAGTACAACAAGCCCGGTAGTCTCAACGTCGTCATTCCCGTGTCAAACTTTCGACAAGGGCACCTGTGGATACAAGAGGATGACGGGCCAGATCTATCTCCAAACGGACAACACCGTGGTCGGAACATAGAGCTCAAGTTGCCCGGAGTCGAATTCGATCCCTTCATGCTCCACGGCACCTGTCCTTGGAAGTCAGACCGACTTGTACTCTCAGCGTACACCACCAATCGCATCGAGGACATATGTAAAGAAGACAAGGAATACCGCAAGCAGCTCGGCTTCAACCTTCCCTAATTCAGTACAGTGCAATCGCTACAACTCCAATTCAATACCAACCGCTATGCTTCGACTGACGAAAACAGCTGCGCTTTCAGGATAGGTTTTCGGTTTTGTTTTCGTTTGGTTTTGTTGCTGCTGTTGGGAGGTTCCTTTTTGCCCATAAAATATACCTTTGCACAACAGTTTCAAATTGATTGGTGAACTCGCCTCAAGCACAGCATTCCTTGTGTCCTCACATCGCTCCCTTCGATCTAGCCGGCAGTCCTTGCAACATGCTACGCGGACGCAGCACATGGTACGCGGAGGAAGCAGAACACCGCAGAGAAGTTCCGACAGCTCAGCTCAACGACATGTACCAGGTAGTCAATCAACTTAGTATTGCGCAACTCCTGGAGTTGGCCGAGTACGTTGCGCGCAGACTTCGGAGTGCAACCCGGTTCATGTTCGGCGGCGTCAGATGCACCCTCCCGTGCCAGCAGTGCGAAGCCGCCAACTACTGCGATCCCAACTACGTCGTCCAAAGCTGTGCCCAAACCTCGCACTCGCAAAGCTCTGAAGAAAATCACATTTGGCACGGACGACATCTATGCTGGTACCATGGAGATTAGAAACACGAGCGACCAAACCAATGACGCACAGGAAGAAAAAGTCACAGCCATTCTCATCACAAGCAACCTCCGGTGTAAGTTTTGCTTTAGTTTCTGTTGCTAGCTTAACCTTTTGCTGTAGATAAGCTATTCTTCTCAAGCGCAGCTTTGTTCCTTCATCGTGCCCAACCAATTTGCACAATGCATCGCAGACGACGCACACGGGATGGAGAAGTCCGCAAAGAGGCACGTCGAGAAGTAGGTCGTGCGCAGATTGATGACATGTACCAGACAGTCAACCAACTAAGCCTGGTGCAGCTATTGGAGCTTGCGGAATATGTCATACGAAAACTTGGACGAGAAGCACGCTACATGTTCGGAGGCGTCAACTGCACATGCAATTGTCAAGAATGCGAAGCAGAGCACCGCAGCAACCCCGACTACGTCATCCTACACTGTGCCCACACTTCCTTGTCGCAGAGCTCAGAAGATCACCAATGGCAAGGGCGACATCTATGTTGGTTTCACGAAGACTAAAACTTGCAGGAAGCAAGAACTTACCAAAAAACAGATGAGCCCATCATTCGGCAACCAGCTTGTGTGCGGAGAAATCAAGTACACCAGAAGTGCATCGAGTGCGGCAAGTCCTTTCGGTTCCAACTTTTTCTGGTTTGTTTAGTTTGTAGATCCTGTAGTAGAGCCGCAGCCATGCCGAAGCGCAAAGCGGGAGAAGCTGGACTTCCATGGTACTCTATGAGGAGCCAGTGCTTTCGGATGACTGTCGAGACACCACCCGACCGAATCACCAAAGAAAAACATATGTTCCTACATGTGGTACTATGTCTCGGAGATTCTGTCTTACAAGCACGGAAAATATTCTTGTGTCGCATCAAAGAGATCACCGGCAGAGTACCGGAAATCCCAGCCTTTTTCTTCGAGCAGAATCGACGACGGCTACATGATTGGGATCCTGTCACGTCAATGGCAACGCTGAAGCCGGTACTCTTCGTCCGAGTAGTTTCAGACAGCGAAGTGCGGCAACAACGTTAAAAAGCAGAGTCCGTGATGTTCAGTCCCTCCATTGGAGGTCAGTGTGTGTGGGGACCCCAAGCTAGTACGTTGAGGTTAGAGCTTGCAAGTGATATTCATGCAGGGGGTGCCAGGGATGCATGCTGGACTGGCACCAACGACGACGCCAGCATTGCATCTGTGAAGCGAGTCAGGACGCTGACTCGTGTACCTGCAACAAGTTTGTGACGTCATCAATCTTACAAGCTGTGCATTGGTTCATCCATTATATATCCGCTGTGCAATGCTTCCAGTACATTCTTCGGCAGTGTCGAGCGAGATCCAGGAATCAGGCAACAGGTGCTCCTTGGCTTTTTTCGGTAAAGGCCCCACGCAACATTTTCGTTGAAGTGTCTCATCCGAGTCTTGAACTCAGTGATGAGTGAGATTGACCACTGAAGAACATTCTACCAGGGAAGCCTGGGTGTTCGAGTGTGTGTCGCTGTGTAATTAACACAGGGTTGGTCGTAGCCCACCAATCACTTATAGATGATGGTCGGTGTGCGGGCAATGCCTCGTGTGAGATCACCACCGGTCCTTTCGAACCGGAAGGCGTGTCCACGGAAGTCCTGGGCCTGGGGAAGACCAAGACAAGGCTCCCAGGGTGCATTAAACTCACAGCGCGGTACCCGAAGAACGCTGAGACCATCACATAAAAGCCCTCGGCCTGAAACCCGGTGACAAGTCCCCGGTCCCCTTAAGGAAAGCAGACGTGAGAGACACCACGCAGTTGGACGCGGGTGCCTCTGCCAGGTAGTGGTCTTAGGCATCTACGAACGCCCAGTGTGCGGTTCCGGAGCTAGCGCGGCACATGACCGCACCACAACGCTGCGACATGCAGCAGGCCACATTGCCGGGACGCTATCTCCAGCACGTCCGTCGCTGGTAAGGGTGACGACGGCCATCGGCTGGACATTTTCAGTGACAGTGATTGGGGGATGTGTTGAAACCCGCGGGTCTACCACGTTGTGGTTTTGGGCGGCGCGGCTCGACCGGGATTACCGCAGCTAAAAGGACAAGGCCCTAGCAGCAAGTTACGCCACCTGCACGTGAGCGAGTTCTAAGTTCTGCACTGTTCAGGCGGGAAAGGCCCTCCTTCGAAATGTGAAGAGCACGGAAGAACCCGACAAACACCACACAAAGACTGGGAACGAGGTTAGAGTTTTGCCTTTGCCCAAGGGCAGAGAGCGAAAACGAGCCGGAATTAGTGGCAACGCCACCGGCAGTCAAGGAGCTTTTTCGGGATGCGGCGCGGGATCCGCAGTCGGAAGTGGCTGGGGCATTGGAAGCCTCATGGTGGAGTCAGTCGGGTGCCCGCAGCCGCAGGCGGCGCTGCCACAGGCGCCACCCTTGAACGTTATAACTTACCCTGAGCATCCGCTATTGATTAGGATCAATCGGGGCTGAGCCGAATTGATTTCGAAGGAAATCAATTATAAAACTTGATTCTCGCTATGTTTCATATCAATAGGTTAAAATGAAATCTGGAAGCGTAAAATCAATATTTAAATCAATAGAAATTTACTCCAAAATCAATCTTCAAATCAATCTTTATGGGGGCCTTACAGTCCGGGTTGAGACCTTTTTTGCACAAGGAGCACCTGCAATCCTGCCACTCATGGGGTGAAACATGCAAGGTGAAACGTCTGCTAACCCTGTTTCTAGGGTCTTGAAGCTGCAGAGGGAAAGCAGCCCTGTTTCTGGGGTTGAGGAGAGGGCAAGCAGCCCTGTTTCTAGGGTCTTGAGGCTGGAGAGGGTTTAGGGCCCATGTTGTTAGGGTCTTCGTAAGGTTGCACCCTTTTTCGAGAGGCAAGGCAACCCTGTTTCCAGGATCTGGAAGCTTGCACCCTCTTTCGAGGGGCATGGCAACCCTGTTTCCAGGGTTGCCAAGCTTGCACCCTGTTTCGAGAGGCAAGGCTGCTACAGCCGCTCCCTGTGGCTAGAACTCATCGGCCATGCCATCTAGCTCCGGCACCACATCGTGTATGGATGGGCGGGTCATAAGCAAGTGCATAAGAATTCTATACTTGTGCATGCTTTTGACACTGAGCCGTGTGGAGCGAACCCCGGAAGCCGCAGACTTTGCCAGGCGACTGACTCGGCCCACAAAATCTTCCGAAGCGAAGCACCAATGAGCACGTGGGTTGAGAAAACGTGAGTTTTCTACCAGGTGTTGAAACGTATGGTGCTTCATTACAATCCTGAATCCAGGGTACCCTTTTTCAAGGGACCACTGGTTCAGGAAGCTGTAGCTGTCGAGAAAGCCTTTTGCGAGGCTTTCTGCCTTGCGAAACTCATTGTCTGCAAGGAACATGTCGGCCTCATCGAAGACTTCGACGAGGTCCGACATGCACTCCAAGGCGGACAGCATAGAGCATTGCACAGGCTCGGTCGTGTCGAGCAGCTTCCTAGCCACTGTTGCGAGTGGCTTCAGCAAGTGTTTGTTCTCGGCACCCTTACACTCCAAGAAAGGAGTGACAGCCCATGGCGTTTTTGGATTGGTGAACATACTCAATCTCAAATTGGTTACACGGGTTTCTACTCGCAGAGCCGTGTATTCCCTTTGAATTGCTGCCCACAAAAGCCCGAGCCTCTCGGCCGGCGTTTTTTTCTGCACGTGGCCGGGCTCGTCCCACCAACAGAAAAAATGTAACACCGAGCCCAACAGGTGGGCATATATGCCTTTCGTGAACATAATGTGGAGCCCGTCGCCTCTTACAAGGCGAGTGGTCACACCGTCCAGGGTGAAGAGAGGATGGGCAGACCTCGGGTGCCGTGCTGCCTGCTTCGAGGTGACACGAACGAAGTTTTGCTTGTCCTGCTCGATTTCTTTGACCCATTTGCCATGTCGTGCTGCTTCCTCTTTCAAGGAAGCATCACACTCCCAGCACGGGTAGTGGGACTGCCAGTGTGGCAGTCCCACTACATTGCTGAAAAAGTCGTGGTCCCCTTGCAGGGACCAAATGATGCCTTTGTGATGGCCAGGAGTGAGCGGTTGGCCTTTCAGTTTCTCGAACACCGAACCCTTTTTCAAGGGTTCGTTCTCAGGCCCTTTTTTGGGGTGGTACCCTTTGGCGAGGGCATCGAAGCTCCAGACTAGCCATTTCATGATTCCAGGCCAGGTGCTCGCTGAGGTCGCTATTTTAGGGAACATTGCCATGAGGAAGTGCTTCATCAGACTATCGGAGAAAAGACTCAGAAGACTTCCGAAAGACCACACCATAAGGCTGTCCCTGGTCTGGTACTCCACACCGTCCCCGTGAACGAACAGCGGGACGACCTTCCTCTTCCAGTCCCTGCCTTTGAGGGCAGGTACATTCTCCAGTCGGTCGTCCCCTGTTGCGAGGGCACTGTTCCAAA